GGAGTTGTACTTGTCAGTAGTCTAATGGATTTGTCACTTGTTGATTATCTAATAGAGTTTTCATTAGTCTAATGATACAAGAGCTGATTTTTTATACAAGATATGATGTTAGATACATGAGATGAGTTAGTTTTAATTGTGAATTCGCTTTATCGATGTACCAATTAAGTTATCAATCAGCTGCGATGGCTTTAAAACACGCATTGTTATCACCAGCTCGAGGAACAGCTGTCGTGCACGTCACGCCAACAGGAGAGGTCCAAGGACATTCAGGTCAACATGGGCATGGCCTGGGAGAAAGAGCGCCGCGAGCAGAGGCGTATCCTGGCAGAGGCTCACACTCTGGCTCTAGACTTACAGGTGGGTACACCAGCGGTTAACTGGGTATTACAGATGTGGCCCACTTGAGGCTGGGTGAAAACATTTCGTGTGTGCCTTATGGTCGAACAAGTACATCTTAAATCACGATCCACTGTACCTTCTGCAGTGGCGTAGGAAAGATTGTGTGTGAAGGGAGGGTGGTGATTTTTTTTTTTGGGGGGGGGGCATTTTCGGCTAAATGAAAAGTGTTGTTCATAGAAGGGGCCGTAAAAAATCATCACCCGCGTTGGTGGCCCTAACCCTGACTACGCCACTGATATTCCAGCATGTAAATAGAATTCATGTATAGATCATTGCGCAGGACTTACAATACTAATTGATCTTCTTTTTTAACACAAACAAAGATTCCCTCGTTTCATTTATGTCCATGTGTTCAATTTAGACGAGTGTAAATTCTTCAATGTATACCGACATTTGTTTCTGGTTCCCCCTCCCCCTTTTTTTTTTCCTCGGCGCCACCCCTTCACTTGGAATTATATGAGACTTAATGACTAAACAAGTATTTGGATCATTTACGTCCTTCATTGCAAAAGGTTTGATCGTTATGTCGACGAGACAGTGGTATATAAAGGAAACCATTTTTAATAAGACAAGACTCGGTCTTATAAAAAGTTAAACAGCTATTCCAAGATTTAAAAGAAAAACAAAAAAAAAAACAGAATATATTCCTGCCATTGTAACATATCGAGACAAACGGCAAAAAAAAAACAAACAACAGCAACAACCTTTTAAAGATTTGTCTTGCGATTAGATATTATATACCATCTAGTTTCGGCGTCACATTGCCACATTTGCGTCTATTGCCCCAGGCCATCCAACTCCCAGTTCATGATACCCTCGCTGAATGGCCCTTTCATCCAGTGAAATATCCTCTTTAACACCAGGCATAGGAACATTTCAAATCCCCTCTACATGCATAGGAGCCAGAATGATCTATACATTGATCGTGGGCCCTTAATGGATAGAAAAAAAAGATTGTGGATGGGCCAAACTGATAAGAATTAAATGAAATGATATTTTGGAGAAATCCCTCATCCCTCTCTCTACATTCATTGTACACACTAAATAATTACACATTACAGAATTTTTCTTATCTGTTTCTGTTACGCACTGACTTGTATTGGGAGAAAATAATCTCCTATTTTAATTTTAATTGACTCGTTGTAATCAGTGCCTAACAAAGGACGATACCACAGAATCAACAATATTAAAGATACGACCCAAAACAGTTTCTAGTTACAATTAATAAGATTTATTATGTCTAAAGATAATTACAAAAGAAAATAAAATAAAATTACAATCTTCAACTTACAGTATGGTGGATCTCGTACCGGTACACAGTTAATACAATTAGAAATAATGATGCCAATAAATAATGCGAAATAAACACATATAAGTAGGAGCACACAAATACACAAAGAATAAAACACGCCTCGTAATGTTAAGAAAATCTATCTGAAATCTCCCCTCGTCCATGCCTGTCAATCCCTTATATAGGTGTAGAGTAAGGCGCTTCCAGAAGGGCTTATGACGTGTTGTTTATATATCTCGGGTTAAGGAGTACATTCCAGAAAGTACCTCGAGTCATTATACCCAATGCGTAATTGGAAGCCGATTGTAAACAAGATACTTCAAAGGCCTAAGCCACACCCCTTTACGAACACAGCGTCTCATGCGGGGTCAATCAGAGGGCACGCACGAGAAATATGATGTAAACAAGCTCTCTGTAACAGTTTCCCTCATAGACATGATGATAATTGCTAATAAATAGTTTAAAAGTTGAAATGCCTCTCAATTTCAGGAACAACTGAGGTCACGGGAGGAAACCTCCTCTCATGAGAGGAAAGAACTGATCCGACAGATGGAGAGTGAGCGACTCAACTTTGCCAAGATGCAGCGGGATACAGAGAAGAAGATGGTGGAAGTAGGAGGCCTTCATTTCTACTCATTCGATTCTAGCTGAACTTTGCCTTTCATAAAAATTTGCTAATTTATGTCAGAACAGGAAATTGTTGAATGCAAGTTGCAGAAACATTTATTTTTTTAAGACTGCTAAGTCTCTCTGATATCATCTGTCAAGTGTGTAACTATCGAAATGGCTTGTTTTTTTTAAAGAAACACTTTGGTAGGCGGCTACAATTTAATGATATAAGCTTTGGAACCAAAGTTCAGTTATAGAATATAGTTTGTGTATTGGAAAGAATATCTTGTCAGGGATTCTTAATCTGAATTCAATGAACTTGTTTTTTTGGTTTTTTTTAGCAACGAATACGTTGGACATTTTAAAATGACTTTCATAAAAAAAACAAAAAAAAAAAACAACAAAAACAAAAAAAAAAAAACAAAACAAAATTCTTGTCAGGGATTCTTAATCTAAATTAAATGAATTTTTTTTTTTGGTTTTTTTTAGCAACGAATACGTTGGACATTTTAAAATGACTTTAAAAAAAAAAACAAAAAAAAAAAAACAACAACAACAAAAAAAAAAAGCATTTCAAAACACCTCACATGATTTAGCAGGCGATCTATGAAAGTTGTCGATTACTTCACAAACTTCCGAAAAAATGTTTAAGAGCCTTCTGGCCATGACCAAGTTTGAAAGCTTGACTGGTCAAGGCTACACGAGCTTTTATTTACCTTCTGTATTTCCATCTTGACCAGCTCGAGTCCTCTGTCCGCATGGCGTCCACATTTCATAAGAGAATGAAGGACATGCAGGACAAGCTTGACAGAGACAACGAGTTCTGGCAGAAGGAGAAAACGGATCTGCTGCGCCTGCTGGCCGAGTCTAGACATGTCCAGGCCAGGGACGTCAAAGTGGTCGAGGACGTTCTCAGTTCGGTGAGTCGCTAGTGGAAATCACAACAGTCTTGGTCCATCTAACGATCTGGGGATAAATAGCATTGGGGGGGGGGTCTCTAGTCAAACAAACAGGCGCTGGTAGATATTGATGGCATTAAACGTCCATCTAACAGGCAGTAGTAGATATTGTTGGCACTGTAAGGCCATCTAACTGGCAAAGGTAACCATTGTTGGCGCTCCTTCTCTTTTTGAGGATCCAAAAGTGGATTTGTCGAGGGGGGGGAGTATTTGCTAAATATTAATTAACAAATCACTGTAATTTGGTCATGTACGGTATATTACACTTTCAATTAACTAATCAATGTTATTATGTCATGTACGGTATATTTCCATCTAACAGGCAGTAGTAGATATTGTTGGCACTGTAAGGCCATCTAACTGGCAAAGGTAACCATTGTTGGCGCTCCTTCTCTTTTTGAGGATCCAAAAGTGGATTTGTCGAGGGGGGGGGGGAGTATTTGCTAAATATTAATTAACAAATCACTGTAATTTGGTCATGTACGGTATATTACACTTTCAATTAACTAATCAATGTTATTATGTCATGTACGGTATATTGGACTTTCAATTAATCGATCAATATTATTGTGTCATGTGCGGTATATTATAATTTCAATTAATCGATCAATGTTATTATGTCATGTACGGTATATTACACTTTCAATTAACCCCTAAACCCGGAACAACTTGTTTGAATCTTGTCCACAGCTGATACGCCTCCGCGAACTTGGAATGATGTTACAGGTGCAAGGGAGAGGGGAGGGTTGGGCGGAGGAGCCCCCAGACAAGACTCAGGGTATAGACCAGGTAAGAGAAAGTCGGTGTAGATCATGGGGACCTTTTCAGAGGCACTTAAACTTTTGTATATCCCTGGGAGAGTTAAACTGTTGTGAGTTTCATTGAAATGGGGGCACCTTGGCTAACTGTGTCTGTGTTTTGGATTTGAGAGAATCTGGAAGATAGGGGATGGCATTGAGTGTTTGAACTCACTGATTTGGCAACAGGTGGATTTATTTTGAGAACCTTTTGACGGTGCATACAAGTGTGAGGCTTACAGGTAGTGATTTTTCATAATACAAAAATATTTTAAAAAAAGGGGTAGGCATAAGCCTGGGTGCCACATCCCCTTAATATACCATTAATAAGATTATTTTTTTAAAACCTGTCAAAAGTAGAGTGTATGATTTTATTCAAGTAAATAATATTTTTGTCTCAACAGAATATAATGGATTTCGTCAGAGAAGTGAGTGTTTTTTATTTGTTATTTTAAAGTTACCAATGACTTAAAATTTTGCCCGTCTCCCAGAAACTAGGCACTACTGCCCCCACCGTGCACAACTATCTAACTAGACTACTGTCTCACTGCACTACTGTCTGACTGCACTACTGTCTCCCTGCACTACTATCTACTTGCACACTACGAAGGCATTGGGCATCCATCTCCTATGTTTGTAATATCGCTGCAATCATAGTCCGATTCGCATCCAGAGATCATAACTCTCTATTTTCATTCTTAACAAAACAACCCTCCCCCCTTCCAACATAAGACTCCAAGGTGTTCCAACTGCTGAACACCATGGTGACCTAAAAATATAAAAAAGAGAACTTTCATTTCTTGACTTAACGTATGCTTAATCGAGTCCATTCCTCCTCTGTATTACCCTTTTTTTATACCCTAGTTTTACCCAGTTTCCGCCTATTATTTTAAATAATCCTTTGTTTTCATCATGACGCGCTATCATTATGTCCACCAACAGGCGGTCATCCAGATTTGCCGGGCAGCCGACGATTTGACCACCATCACGAATCCAACAGCAGACGAGGGGACCATCAAGAGGTGAGTGACATCCAATCTTACGTCATGCGCGTCTTGAGTTCGGAAATATAAAATTGTATCAAACCAGACTGTTTACAAAAAATTAAACCAAGGAATGACAATAAGTTAAGAAAGCATATTGAACAAATAAACCAGCAGCTGACAGCAAACCAAAAAAAGATAATCTATCTTGGATTGGAATCATTGTCGATCATTTCTACACATAAAAACTCGTACGTCTAGCTTATAAATATTTTTTTTCTTAATTTAAAAAAAGTTGACTAGGTCCAACGGTGTGAAAAAAGTGTTGCCCTGTCTGCATGTTCTTTCTTTAATTTTGGTAATTTATTTTTTTTTTAAAGTAGAATTTGCGCTTTGGAGCTAGCCTCATTTTACTTTTTTTTCTTTTTCCAGATTGGATCTTTATCATTATCTGTGCTCTTTACCAGCATTTCCCCAAAACTTTTAAATGTCACCAGTTGTCAGATTTATTGATTTCATTTTTTTTTATTTGACTATAAATATCCTTGTTGTGCGAGCCCGCAACGTAAGCATCGCGGACCGGCGACGGTCCACGGATTACCACTAGAGGATCACTGCTCTATAGTAGTTTTTTAAATCGTTAAGTACGTAACTTCCTGCGCCTTCTTTGAACTTTACGCCCTCTTTATCTAATATGTAGACATCAATAAGAATAGATAACTGTAAAAAAAAAAAGTAATCTTAATCAAAGCGATTTCTTTTAACGCCCGCTTCTCATCCCCTTTTAAGGTATGTCCAGTTGCGCAACCCAAAAGCGAAGAACTAATATAAAGCAAAGCAGCTGTGGTTAGATGATTCCTAGACCTGCCCACATTCCTAGACCTGCCCACATTCCTAGACCTGCCCACATTCCTAGACCTGCCCACATTCCTAGACCTGCCCACATTCCTAGACCTGCCCACATTCCTAGACCTGCCCACATTCCTAGACATGCCCACATTCCTAGACCTGCCCCCATTCCTAGACCTGCCCACATTCCCAGACCTGCCCACATTCCTAGACCTGCCCACATTCCTACACCTGCCCACATTGCTGTCGTTAGATAATTCCTAGTCCTGCCCACATTCCTAGACCTGCCCACATTCCTAGACCTGCCCACATTCCTAGTCCTGCCCACATTCCTAGACCTGCCCACATTCCTAGACATGCCCACATTCCTAGACCTGCCCACATTCCTAGACATGCCCACATTCCTAGACCTGCCCTCATTCCTAGACCTGCCCACATTCCCAGACATGCCCACATTCCTAGACCTGCCCAGATTCCTAGACCTGCCCACATTGCTAGACCTGCCCACATTCCTAGACCTGCCCACATTCCTAGAGCTGCCCTAATTTCTAGACCTGCATACTAACTTACTGTTGACAGAGGGTTTCTGTAAGAAACGATAATTTGGGAAGCCTTATTGTAAATAGCAGGCGTTGTCCTTATAAATAATAATTATTATTTTTAGATTAGAAATTTAGGATAAGAAGAAAAAAATAAGATGAAATTATTAAGAATTTGTCTTTCTCACAGAATCTCCAGCTCAGAGGTGGAGCTGCTGAAGCATGAGCTATGTGATCTGCGTCACGAGGGCGATGACGTATTTGTCATCGCTGACGTGTCCACCAGCAGCACGACAAGGACAACACAAATCGAGGAGTCGTCGAGTGGGGTGTCCAGACTGGCGCACGGGGGCGAGCGCGGTGGTCATCTAACGCCAACCATCGCCGGAAACACCACCGTGCAAAACACTTACGCTCAGCAACAGCAAGCCCCGCCCACAGCCACAATTCCCAGTCGCTCAACCCCGGCCGCCAATGTTCAACTGGTTAACATACCTCAAGTGCCTCCTCCTGTTGTCTTGCGTCAGCTCGACTCCTCCTCCAGACGCCACGACCGCCCGCCTTCTTATTCCTCTGGCACGAGAAGTGCTCAAACATCTCGCGCCACCACCCCGGAAACACACGAGTCCACTCCTGTCTCGTCCGGGACGCTTCCTTTGCGAAAGGCCGGATTCCCAGAACCACCCACTAGCTGCATCATTCCCCAAAACAAGCTTCTCTCTGCACGCCCCCAGAAAACATTAACGTCTGCTCTGTCGTCTGGACATTCTTCGGGGAAACCCAAACGTCCGGTTACATTCATGAAGAGTCTTTCCGTAGACAGCGCCCCCCTATCGCCACCTCCCCACACCCCGATCGACCAGACCAGCATTTCCGCCAGCAACACGCCCACACAGCCGGTGACGTGCGCCGCGATGGTCGCCTCCTTCTCGACACCCACAGTAATCTTCCCTCAGTCTGACAATCTCTTATCCATTTCTCAAAACACAGCCCCTAGGTCATCGTCCTTTTCCTCCCCGGGGCGAGAGCGCGTGTCTCCGAGGACGGCTCGGCGGAAGTTCTTCGAAGAGCTCCCGACGTCCTTCCCGGTGAACCAATATCCCATAGGGTATCAGTCTTGGCCGGAGAGGAGGAACCCGGCCCCGGTACACATGCGCCAGCAGTCGCTTCCCAACGCCGAGGAAGTGCGGAGAGAGGCCGAGGAAGAGCACAGTTTGGTGACGTCAAGGAAATTAGAACCCGGCGGAGCAATGAGGACGTCCGCCTCATGGGACGCGAAGATGCATTCTCAAGCCGTTGGTCAGCAGACGTCACCTGTCTCAGGTCGCGCCGCTGAAGCAGACGCGGGACCATCAGCAGGATCGGCATCAATTTCAACAACACCAACAACACCCACAGTTGCCGAAAGTAAAACTCTCAAACACACGGCTAAGGAGAAACGAAGGTTCTTTAAGAAATCTTGCAGTTTGGATTCAACGGTAGGATCGACCATTGCGTCGGTAGGGGTGTCGGTGATGCCCCCGGGGGCGCCGACTGGCTTCACGCCCTCTGATCTGTTTGCCGCCATGAAAGGAAAATTGAAACCTGTCTTTAAACGGAAACTCGCAGATGCAGGACCCAATAACAGCAGCGAGCCCAGGTCTCCGTCACCACTTTTTATACAAACAGAAGTTCCTGCCGCGCATTGCACGAGCCACGGTGGACCTACGTCATTACTGGTTCCGGTTCCACGTGTAGATGTAAGCGAGTTGGAGGAATCCTATGACCAAGAAGAAAGTCAAGAAATTTTAACAGAGGTAACTACTGGTAAACTTTCTTTAATGCAGTTTTAAATGGATGTGTGATGTTTTTCAGTGATGGCTAAACCAATATCAAACCAATACGAATAATAATTTAATCTATCTTTTACCGACAATTACGGTTTGCCAATTTATAGAAATTATCAAACAAATCCAATATACCAGTGGTTAATACCATTGTATGCATAAAAAAATTGGAAAAAATGTCCATAGATATAACATATATGGATTTTGACATACATTATTGTTCCAGGAGTTTAGGGGGGGGGGGTGTTGTACATTTGTGTTGGTCTATACAAAGATTGAACTCCATTTTCTTAGTTTGTTGGAATTTTTGGCCCTGGGGAATCGGTCATTCCTTTAAAGAAAAAAAATCTTTTCAATGTTGCATTTTAAACGGCCCCCCCCCCCCCCCACACCTTACACACACTTCTTTTTTAAATAAGCCTTTTTCGTTAGTAGCATATTTAAGCCCAACTCTCCAATACAAGCTAAAACTGAACGTCTCTTCTGGTCCACAGCTTCCCAGCGAAAGGTCACGTGACGCCCACCGCTCACTGCACGGCAAGTGGAGATCAAAGTCCGCCGACCGCATCCAAACCAGTGTCCACGCTGACGTCATACGACCCGTCTCCGGTGTGTGGAAGTTTAACGAGACCGCCGTTTGATGTGACCTTGATGACCCCCAGCACGTGGGAGTGCGTAGGGGGACTCCTCTCAATTCATGCATCACTGCCACACAGGTTGTCAAAGCAACGCTCCAGAAACAGCGCTCTTTAAAAAAACAACAACAATGGTCTCCAAGTTTTTATTTCTTTCCGGTGACATTTGACAATGCCCAAAATGAGGGCCCCTCGATTTCTGATCATTTGTCTTGTAAACGCTGAAGGTGGTGAGAAATAATTAAATTTACGAATACAAAAATCCCGCGGAAAGTGTTCATTGCAACATGTTGAATGAGTGAAAACCTCAACCAAACCTTTAAAGTTGTTTCTAAAATAATCAAATGTTGGTTCATCATAGTTTCTGGAATCTCCCACGGGATTTTTCTTATTGAATTTTGAATCCTCTAAATTGTGATGTTTAGACTATTGAACAATTGGGATGTTTAGACTACTGAAAAATTGTGATGTTTATACTAATGAACAATTGTGATGTTCAGACTAATGAAAACTTGTAGCGTAAGTCTTACTTGAAGATCGATCATATCTTGTTTCTTTTTTTTTTTTAAATGATCACAACTGACACACTTCTTTTGATTCTCTGTTTTCAAAACATTTTGGTAGATTATCGACAAGTCATAACATACAAGCATTATTTTTTTTTTTGTTCGTACACTTCACTCTTTCGTGTTGAAACGTGCCACAAAAAATGAAGAAGCCTTTTTAAAAAAAAAAAACTTTCAAACACTTTTTTCAGATTTAAAAAAAAAATATTTTTTTTTTTTTTTTTAAATGATCACAACTGACACATTTCTTTTGATTCTCTGTTTTCAAAATATTTTTTTAGATTATCGACAAGTCATAACATACAAGTATTATTTTTTTTTTTGTTCGTACACTTCACTCTTTCGTGTTGAAACGTGCCACAAAAAATGAAGAAGCCTTTTTAAAAAAAAAAAACTTTCAAACACTTTTTTCAGATTTAAAAAAAAAATAGTACTCGAATAAAAACCAGTTTATTTTGTGGGAAAAAAAAGTGTGTTGGGGGGGGGGATTTTTTTATAGTTCCATTGCTGTGACAATAGTTTTGAATCCTAACCAATGTTTGACCCCGGCTATGTCCTGAGTTATTGCACCTAAAATTTCTCCTACACACACCGGTCTCTTTCCACGCACAAATACTTGTAAGCCTTGATTTAACTGGTCTTAGCCTGATGAACTGACTTCATCTTGTATGTCAGATAGACAGGAAATAGAAATCACGGGACAGAAAACTATGAACCCAGGACAGCCAGCTAACAACCCCAGGACAGCCTAGCTAACAACCCTAGGACAGCCTAGCTAACAACCCCAGGACAGCCTAGCTAACAACCCCAGGACAGCCTAGCTAACAACCCCAGGACAGCCTAGCTAACAACCCCAGGACAGCCTAGCTAACAACCCCAGGACAGCCTAGCTAACAACCCCAGGACAGCCTAGCTAACAACCCCAGGACAGCCTAGCTAACAACCCCAGGACAGCCTAGCTAACAACCCCAGGACAGCCTAGCTAACAACCCTAGAAAGTCCAAAACAAATCACCAAAGTTTAGTGGCACAGTCTTCTGCCACATATATTATGCATCATCTTGTGATTACTAAATCAGTTTACCGTTGTCATTAGCAACACATTCTGATATTTGATCTTCTTTTGTGAAGCGCACAAAAATCAGGAAAACTCAGCGTCATGGGAAACGGAAGAGAGAACTTTTAAACATTAATTATAAAAAATAATTATGCAAAATATTTTTTAAAATCAACTTAAGTTCCATCACATCCGATCCTTGTCCAATACTCCACCGCCTTGTCCAATACTCCACCGTCTTGTCCAATACTCCACCGCCTTGTCCAATACTCCACCGCCTTGTCCAATACTCCACCGCATTGTCCAATACTCCACCGCCTTGGCCGAAAGTAACAAGTGGTTTTAAAACAATGAGTAAACTTGACTGTTTCCTTACAACTGTTGTGTGACGTGACGCTGGTGTATGTACCACAGTGGCACTTCAGCAAACACAAGGACGGTCTCCCTGTTTGTGACGTCATAAGTGACCCGTGATCTGGATGTCCAGATAAAATAATATAAATGAATGTCGTATTCAAATACGATATTTTCGTTCCAATGAAAGACATATGATCCTAGACATTTGATCCTAGTCATATGATCTTAGACATATGATACTGGACATTTGATCTTAGTCATATGATCTTAGACATATGATACTGGACATATGATCTTAGACATATGATTCTAGAGATATGATCCTAGACATATGATCCTAGGCGCCTTAATTGATATTGTATACATTATGTCGTAAAGTACAATTAACTTCAGTTGTATTTTCCTACACGCATAGATTCAGAAGTTTGTATGGATAAAATATAGTTGTAGTTGGACTTGAGTTGAAATCCAAAGCTTTTCTTCTTTTTTCTTCTTTTTTTTTCCAGCATAGGAAGATTCATTTATTTATTTATTTTCTGAATTATGCCTTGACTTAGAGTTTGACATGTCATCTAGAGGCTGACAGAGGTGCAGTCAGGGGTGCATGGGGAAATTCCCGGTGGTACGCCACGGTGGATGACAATGGGCTACCTGGACCGCGTCTACATCACGATAAAACGTGCGCTTTATGGTCTCAGTTCCACATGACGGTCCCGAGCCACTTAGACACTTTTAGAAACTCTTAGACATTTTTAAACACTCTTAGACACTTGTAGACACTCTTAGACACTCTGAGACACTCTTAGACACTCTTAGGCACTCATGTCCCCCACTTCCCCCCAGCTGTCTCGTTTAATCAAGTTTATGAACAACTGCCACGTGTTTGACCAGAGTGAGAAGCAGTTGAAGTTGTAGTGCACTTCATCTTTAGCACATGTGCACAGCGTGGGTCCCTGGTGCACTTCATCTTTAGCACATGTGCACAGCGTGGGTCCCTGGTGCACTTCATCTTTAGCACATGTGCACAGTGTGGGTCCCTGGGATTAGAGGGAAATTTGAACGCAACCTTCATTGGCACCTATTCTATTTTCAGACTTGGCCCTTGGGGAAAAGGGCCCAATAGGTATAAATGATTAACAATTTGTTTTAGCCCCCCCGTAGTCCCTAGATTATTTACGCTTTTATGAAGTTTGAAAAGAAAAGTTTTCATAGCGAGGTGATGTCATAGTGATGTCATGATCATTTAGTATCATATTTTAATAGTTTTATTATTATGATTATATTTTGCAAATGTGAAATAATTTTTTTTTAAAATTTATTTAATGAGACACGAAATAAATCCTTCCGAGAACCACTGCCATGGTGCGGACTTGGTGTCCATGTTTTTTTTTTAAACACTTGATCAGATTCGTACACAATCTAGCATCTTCATACATACTTTATCTTATTTTTACACACAAAAATAGAAGGCGGTCCACATGAATAAATAAGTAGTAATCGTTGAGTTGGCCGACTAGTGGATGTGGTTAATGACATTAACCGACGACCCATTGTGAGCAGGGCTGCCACTCAATTTTTTTTTTTAATTCCCGATATTTGGTCAAAATATTTCCAAAGATAAAAAATATATAAGAGTTTTATTTGTTTTTTTTTTAAAAGGATCTTGGGGAAATTTTTTTAAATAAAGTGAGTTTTGGCCCTGAATGGGGTAGTGAATTCCCAAGATCTTGGAAAATATCCCAAAGTATGGCAGCCCTGATTTACAGGCGTAATTATATTTCTCTTGGAAATATATGACATCCTTCTTTCGGTTAGCCGTTTGTGCCTTTTGGAGAGCTTCGCCCCCAAACCTCTTAGTTGAGTTGACGCTGTTCACGTGTTTACCTTCAAACCCTATTCTGCAACCCATGTCCTTGTAACTGATGTGCCCTTTTATTTTATTTGTGATTAACAAATATTCTTATATTGAACAAAAAAAAAAAAAAAAAAATTTTGTGCCTTTTGGAGAGCTTCGCCCCCAAACCTCTTAGTTGAGTTGACGCTGTTCACGTTTTTACCTTCAAACCCTATTCTGCAACCCATGTCCTTGTAACTGATGTGCCCTTTTATTTTATTTGTGATTAACAAATATTCTTATATTGAACAAAAAAAAAAAAAAAAAGACTCTATTCCGTTAGGATTTGTTCCGATCATTGCCTGATGCTGTTTATTTTTTTCTATTGATCCCAAATGTCGTTGAGATTAAACATGTATTTATTATTTAAAACAAACACACAAGAGATGTTTTTTTTATGAATGTATACATTTGTTTTTAACCATAACTGTCAACTAGAATTAACACTTGTTTCAACCAATCAAACAGCGAGTTGGGGTTGTGCTTTCTTTGTTCATTGTCGTTTATGTTTATTTCAATTTTTTTTGGTTGTTTAAAAAAAAATAAATGTTTTCTACATCTAGAGTAACGCAATGTGTTTAAGTTGGAGTCAGGTACAGTGGCGTCACTAAGGTAGGTGTCAACCAGTGGGGTAAACGCATTGTGAAAGTCACTCTAGACTCCCCCCCCCCATAGACCTTCTGACAACAGACTGCTCTGGTGGCAGTTTGTTTTGATGGCAGCTTGCTCTGGTGGCAGTTTGATCTGGTGGCAATTTTCTCTGATGGGAACCTGTTCAAGTTGGAGACATCTCTTGTATTTAAGACCCATATATTAAGACACCGACTCCAGCAAACTCTGCCAAATCTGAACATTTAGTATCCACGCTACAAGGATGACACCCGGAGTGGTCCCCCCCCCCCCCACTCACCCACATTGTTTCAACATTTCATAAGGGCAGTGTAGATACATTCGTTCATTTAATAAACTTTATCTGCTAAATGCAGAAATTCGACAACCACCTCGCCCCCCCCCCCCCCAATCTGTTTCAATTTTAATTTCTCTGGCTTCAAAGATATCAATTGTAATATACTCAGCTAAAACATATTTTAAACTGTTATCTGTATAAATAGGATAATACATTTCAAGTGTACCTCTAGTGAAATACAGAGGTGAACTCAAATGAAACTCAAATTAAACACTGTTCAATTAAGTTAACTGTTAACACCGCTCTCAGAGTCTCATGCCATCACACAAGGGCGATCACCTACTGCTTCCTGGTCTAGTTCCAGTCGTCACCTTGACTAAGTCATGCCGCTGGATCAAACAGACAAGGACGAGAGCTTGAGGCGGGCGAATTGGGCAACTCTCCCTCAACTTTAAACAAAATACAGTTCAAGTCAAGGGATACTGTATAGCTTGAAAATTGCCTTGGTCATATTCAAGTGCGGAGGACGAACCACAACGTATCACCACTAAGCGTGTTATAAAACAATACAAATAAATAATTTTCTAAAATTGTTTTATTTTAAGTGAAAATTTTCAATATTTTAAATAGAGGAAAAAAAATAAATAAAACTGAAATGTATTCTTATAAAAATCTTAATAGCCAGTCTTTGATCTTCAGTTCTGTATCGCATCAGTGATCCTTTAGCGGGAAGGTGTCAGTCCTAGTTTGTGATCCGCCAATATAAAGGAAAACAGAAGAATACAACACTTGGTAAATTAAATACGTATATCAAAGCGTGTTTTACATTACATTTTATATTGGTATACATGGTCAGACGTAGGATGTTCACTTGACAATAAACACTGATGGCACTTTTGGAAACGCACATGTCAATCATTTTAACATTTAACATTAGTTTGGTGGTTAAATTTGATGGTCAATGAACTAATGCTACCGGTTTATTATTAGAAGGGCGTTATTAAACCGAAACAAACAATGTATACATGATGTTAGGACTATCTGATTTTTAACAATGCCAGCCACCTATTTGGTTACATGACACTTCATCGACAGACACATCATTGGCAGACACATCATTGACAGACACATCATTAATAGACACTGTATCGACACACACATCATCAACACACACATCATTGACAGACACATCATAGGCAGACACATCATTGGCAGACACATCATTGACAGACACATAATTCAAAGACACATCATCGACAGACAATCATTGACAGAAAAATCATTGACAGACACATCATCGACAGACACACCAATGAAAGACACATCTTTGACAGACACATCATTGGCAGTCACATTATCGACATACACATCATTGACAGACACACCACTGACAGACACATCATTGGCAGTCACATTATCGACAGACACATCGACATAAACACCATTGACCGACACACCATTGACGGACACATAATCGACAGACACATCATAGACAGACACATTATCGACAGATACATCATCGACAGACACATCATCAACAGACACACAATTGACAGACACCTTGACAGACACATCATTCGCAGACACAAACATTGACATGAACACTTAATTGACAAACGTTTGAAATACAAACTGTTCAATAACGTAGATTATAGTGCTGAAAATAAATAAACTGTCTCCTTTGAAGGGGCGTAGGCCCAGGTGTTTTGTTCCCATTTATAAAGCTACAGAAATACAAGCAAACCCACAGATCTCTTGTTGATTGATGGATCTGGGAGAAACGTAGTAGGCATACTCCTCATTGTCTACCACGTATTTAAAACGAATAATTTGCTAGTCGATTGGCTTGGGCACAATGTTAGTAATTGAAATATTTATTCACACATTTTAAAGGACAGCTTCAAGAATTTAACTAATACATTTTCTTAAGTATTTCGTTTTTTCGTGGTCGTTAAAATGCACCTTATGGGACGGGCCCCTCGCAAGCTGAGACCCCTTACTTCAATCGATTGCGAGAATCGGTCAAGAAGTGTTACCGCCACACAAAACCACACACAAAATAAGCAAACAATTTCCATGAAAGCAATAAGAATAGGAAAGTTATCAGATCGGCACCGGCATCTTTAGGAGAATTTGCTATCGAGGGTCAATACTTCTTTGATACATGAAACTTGAATGCGCAAGGAGTTTACCCATTTACATAATCGCTTCAAAATAAATTATCAATCACGTACAATTATATAACATGCATATAAAGGATTTATACGAAAATTAGTTTGTTTTTTTTAAATTAGGGGTTGTTTAATTAATAAATAATTTGAATTTTTTAAAGGTTTCAAGATGAATCCGCCTGATTATACAAATAAATGCTAAATATGATAGATTTGAATTGTGACATATCGATGAAGTGTCTGTCAAAGAAATGTCAATGACGATTTTTTTTTCCGTCAATGAATTGCATGTCGACACAATTTCTTTCAATGATCTGTCTTTTCATGAAGAGTCCGTTGATGAAATGTTTTGTCGATGAAGTGTCTGCCGATGAACTGGTCTGCTATTGCATGTCTGGTCTGTATACTTTCAGGGGGCGGATCCATGTAATGTCTTGGGGACACAAAACAAGACAGGTGGCTCCAATAATAATCAGTTTAAAAATTAAGGCATGAATAGAGCAAAAGTAATTTTACCAGACTGAGACAGGAGCAGTTACTATAAAAGACCGAGGGAGCAACACGTAATATACAAGCCTGAGACAGTAACATTTCATGTACGAAATTGAGACAGTAACAGTGACCTTCTTACGTTTGCCATAGTTTTTCTGTCATGTCCCGTTTGCCGTGAGTTCAAGACGGAGCGATTCTGTGGGAGGGCTGGAAGATATAATTGTTCACAACCTTAATGACGTAATGATCGAAGAGAGGCAAACGCCTAATCAGTGGCATCACTAGGGCTGGGGTAACCTAGTGCGATAAATTCCCGTTGTGTTGCCCACCCCTTCAGACTTCCCAAAGGAAATCATCTGAGTGCTTGCTCTGTTGGCTCTCTGCTCTGGTCAAAACCAGCTAAGGTGGTACCCTGCTCCGTTGAAACCCTGCTATGGTGACACCTCTGCCCTAGTGACAACCTGCTCCGTTGAAACCCTGCTGTTCTGACACCCTGCTCCGTTGAAACCCTGCTCCGGTGACACCTTTACTCTAGTGACACCTTTGCTCTAGTGACGCCTTTGCTCTAGTAACGCTTTTGCTCTAGTGACACCTTTGCTCTAGTGACACCTTTGCTCTAGTGACACCTTTGCTCTAGTGACACCTTTGCTCTGGTGACACCTTAGCTCTGGTGATACCTTTGCTCTGGTGACACCTTTGCTCTGGTGACACCTTTGCTCTAGTGACACCTTTGCTCTAATGACACCTTTGCTCTAGTGACACCTTTGCTCTGGTGACCCCTTTGCTCTGGTGCACCTTTGCTCTGGTGACACCTTTGCTCTAGGGACACCTTTGCTCTAGTGACACCTTTGCTCTGGTGATCCCTTTGCTCTAGTGACACCTTTGCTCTAGTGACACCTTTGCTCTGGTGACACCTTTGCTCTGGTGACACCTTTGCTCTAGTGACACCTTTGCTCTAGTGACACCTTTGCTCTAGTGACACCCTGCTCTCTTGTGTAGTTATGATCCATTATGAAAGGCCTTGGGCTATTTCTGTTGAATTTACAATGTTCCAGTTGATTCCCCCCCCCCCGGGAGGGGGGTATCACCTGGTGCTGCGTTCTACCCCTCCACCGCATCCCCAAGTGACGTCACTGTAACTTATTCAATAGCAACCCCAGTGCAATAGACCAATGATATGATGACCAACACAAACATATTCAAGCTCAGTGCGTGTTGTCAGGGGGAAAAACACAGCAAAAAGAACAAAAAGAACAACATCAACAACAAACAAAGCAACAATACATTAAGAATAGTGCAACAAAACAAGTCTATTAATGCCGCCACAGTGGCAGCTCATGACTTAAAGTATAGGGGGGGGGGGGAGGGCTGGAGTTCCTCTGTTCTATACACGAGCCGCCACAGCAACATAAGAAAAATAAAAATAATAAAAAAAAAAGATGGAGTTTACAAGACTATCTCAAGATACATAATAGTGCAACAAAACAAGTCTATTAATGCCGCCACA